TTGACCTGCTCTGCCCCCATTTGGATGCCCTTTATATATTTCTTATCTGATTGCATAGGAAAGAATCCTACCAAACATGTTCTATGAAGCAGCTATCACCCGGATACCAATACCAAGAAATGACTGATTTGAAAATGAGAATTATAGACCAGTTTCACTAATGAATATTGATGAAAAAATACTCAATAAAATCTTAGCCAATAGATTAATATCTATTGAACTTCCAGCACTATGATGAATAGTACTGGCGATAGAGGATATTCCCTGTGTGGTTCCAATTCTATGTAGAAAAGCTTTCAGTTTTACTCCATTCAGTGTGATATTAGCTGTGGGTTTGTCAGAGATGGATGGTTTCATTCAGTTTACGAAATGTGCCACCTATGTCTGTATTCTTACATGTTCTTATTAGAAAAAGATGCTGGATTTTATCAAATGCAGAAAAAGATGCTGGATTTTATCAAATGCATCTATTAAGAGGATTATATGGTCTTTGTAATTGTTTCTATTGATATGATGAATTTCATTTATGGATTTGCATATGTTAAATCAGCCTTGCATCCCATGGATGAAGCCTACTTGATCCTGATGCATATTTTTTTAAATTTGTAGGTGTAAACTATTGGCTAAGATTTTATTGAGTACTTTTGCATTGATATTCATTAGTGAAATTGGTCTTTGGTTCTCTTTTTTAGTTGAGTCTTATCCTAGTTTTGGTATCTGGGTGATGTTTCTTTCATTGAACATGTTTGGTAGGGTTCCTTCCTTCTCAATGTTTTGGAATAGATTCTGTGGTATACGTACTAGCTCTTCTCTGAAGGTTTGATAGAACTCTTTTGTGAAGCCATCTTGTCCCAGACTTTTTTGTTGTTGAAAGATTTTTTATCATTTCTTTGATCTTAATGCTTGATATTGGTCTGTTCAAGAGAACTATCTCTTCTTTGTTAAGTCTCGGGAGAGGGTTTAATTACAGGTATTGGTCAATTTCTTCCACATTGTCAAATTTCTGGAATAGAATTTCTTATAGTAGTCAGAGATAATCAATCTCTTGTATGTCTGGAATATCTGTTATTATTTACCATTTTTCATTTTTGGTTGAAGTTATTAGAGATTTTACTTTTCTGTTTCTAGTTAATGTGACCAAGGGTTTATTGAATTTTAAAAATCTTCTTGAAGAACTAACTTTTTGTTTCATTAATTTTCTGAATAAGTCTTTTGTTTTCAATTTCATTTATTTCTGATTTAATTTTGGTTATTTCTTTTCTTCTGTTATATTTGGGATTAGATTGTTCTTCCTTTTTCATTTCCTTAAGATGATTCATTAGGTTGTTGCTGTGTACTTTTTCTGTTTTCTGGATATAGGCATCTCATGTGGTAAATTTCCCTCTTAGGACTGCTTTTTATAGTATCTCACGAGTTTGGGTAACTTATAGCTTCTTTGTTGTTATGTTTGAGGAATTTAACTATTTCTTCCTTTATCTCTTTCTTGATACAACTGTCATTCAGCATCCATGCCTTTGTGTGGGAATGAATATTTTTGTTGAAGTTCTGTTCCAACTTTATTGCCTTGTGTTCTGAGAAGATACAAGGTATAATCTCAATTCTTTAAATTTTGTTTAGGTTTGATTTGTGTCCTAGGATATGCTCTATTTTGGAGTATGTTCCATGGGCTGATGAAAAGAACATATATTCCTTAGCTTTGGGATGGTGTGTTTTGTATATGTCTATTAAGCACAGTTGTTCTAGGTCACATTTGAGTTCCTTGTATCTTTGTTTACTTTCTGTTTAGAGGACCCATCTTGTTCTGCCAGTGGGTGTTAATGCCCCCAGCTATTATGGTGCTATCTGATAATCATATTGCTCAGACAAATCAAGGTCTGTTTTATAAATCCGGGAGCATTTAATTTGGGTGCATAAGTATTTAGATTGAAATGTCCTCTTGTTGTATTGTTCCCTTGACCAGAATGAAGTCACTGTTTCTGTCTTTCTCAACACTAGGTGCTTTAAGTATACTTGTATCTGACAATACAATTGTGACCCCTCCTTTGTTCTGGGTTCCATTTCCCTTAAGTACTATTTTCCTTCCCTTCACCTTGAGTTTGTCTTGTCTTTCAATGTTAGGTGTGTTGCCTGAAGACAACATACAGATGTCTTGTGCTTTTTTATCCAATTGGCCAGCCTGTGCCTCTTCCATGGGGAATTCAAGTCATTAACATTTATTGAGAGAATTGATAAGTATGGTGGAGTTCTATTCATCTTATTTTGTTAAAGTTCATTGCTTAGTTTTATCTTTGGTGCCTTTGTGGAGGCTAAATTTTCTCATTTAGTTCCTGGGTGATTATTTTGCTGGGGGTCCATTGTGGTGTTTGGTATGGGGAATAGGTCTACAAGAAATAGAAAGTATAAATACTTTCTAATAGAAAATATAAATACTTTCTATTTCTTGTAGAGCTGGTGGTGTTGTGGCAAATGTCCTCAATATGTACATATCAGTAAAAGATTTGATTTCTTCATAGATTTTGTAGCTTAGTTTAGCAAGATTCAGAATTATAGGCTGAAAATTATTTAGTTTAACAAGGTTAAAATTTACTGGACATTCTCTTTTGGCTTGGAATAGTTCAGTGGAGATGTCTGCTGTTGTGCTGATAGATTTTCCCTTATAGGTCAATTAGCATGTATTTCTGGATGTTTGTAGAATTTTCTCTTTTGTTTTGACTTTGGACAGTTCATTACAATGTGTCTTGGAGATGATCTGTTTGTGTTGAGATGACTTGAAGCTTGATATCTCTCTAAAAGGAGTATTTCACAATCCTTAGTGAAACTTAGGAAATTTTTATTCGTGATATCCTTCAGTATGTCTTCCATTCCTTTGAGACATTCTTTCTACTCTTCAGGAATACCTATAGTTCCTAGGTCTCATGAATGCTTCATGAAGTCTCACAATTCTCTGAGTGAATGTTATTCCTTCTCTCTATCCTTTTTCTGCCTCTTTAACTACCTGGGTTAGCTCAAGAACTCTATTCTCTATCTCTGAGATACCTTCTTCTCCTTGGTCTAATCTGTTATTGATACTTTCTACTGCATCTTTAAACTCTTCAATTTACTCCTTCAATTCCTTAAGGTCTGCTGTATCCTTTCTATATTCTGAGTATCTTTTGTCCATTTTTTGGTTCTGTTTGTCCACTTTCTCATTAATTCCATTTATTGCCTTTGCCATCCATATTTTAAATACCCTTTCTATCATTTCCATTAATTCTTTATAGGTGGAATCCTCTGTGGTAGCTGCTTCATGTCACTTGGGTGGGTTGCTCTCTTTTGGTTTTTCATGTTGCTAGAATTTTTCTGTTGGTTACTCTTCATGTATGCCTTCTTCTTGTTCACTTCCTTCCCCTATGTTTTTTTTTCTCACCCCCTCCTTCACTTTTATTTACCTTGTCTCAGAGCTTAGGTTTTGATGTTGCCTTTTGGTATAAGGCCAAAAGGAAGAGAAGCATAAAGAGTGAGAAGGGAGAAAGATGAGAAGCAGAAAAAAAGAGAAGGGGGTATAAGAAGAGAAAGAGAGTTACAGGAGAATTGATGTTGTTTGGCAGGTTGCTATGTCCACACCCACCAGTCTAGGATTTTGTGAGTCCATGTTGGGTGAGTCCCTCAAAAATCAAGAGTTCCTTGCTTGCCTTGGCAACAGCAAGACCCTACCCCCCAGCAAATCTGGGAAGGGAAAAAAAAAGAAAATTTAAAATTCAGTAGTAAGTCACAGTAGGGATCCATCAATACTGTATTTCTAAAGTGTAAGCTATAAGGACACCCTAGAACATGAGCTTATGATCTCCTTGAGCCAGATTAGTGCCATACTCCCCCCCCAGCACTCAGAAACAGGTAAAAAAAGAAATAGATCAAGAAACTGACAAACATAATTATATAAAGAAAAAGGGGTATCTTAGGTGTTATATAAGAAATTTATGTGAGAAAGTAGAAAAGTCTCTACCAAAAGAGAGAAAAAAGGAGAGAAATAAAAAGGGAGAATAAAAGGGGCTGAAAACGTGTGACAAAAATGGAGTATCCCTTGCTATTAAAGAAAGTAAAAATGGAAAATTAAAAATGCAACCAACCAAACAACAACAACAACAAAAAAACCCCAAAGAAATTATATATGTGTGTATGTATAACTATATATGCACATATAGATATATACATTGCAAAATATTGCTATATGTTGTCTGGGCACCAGGTGGCACTATGGTTTTAGGAAACAGAGAATATTTGCTGTTTTGCTGTGAAAAATTAGGGCCAGTAGCCACTCTCTTAGTTGCAGAGGAAATCAGGTCCTGTTTTCCTGTCTTAGTTGCCCTCAGTCAGGGCCTGGTTGCTTCATCAGCATTCAGTCCCTGCAGGATTAGGGTCCTAATGCTCTCACCAGAGTCCATAGGAGGCAAGTCACACAGTGCCCCCCTGACAATAATTCCTGGGGCCACTCCACTCTCCCCAAGCGTAGATGCTTAAGCTCAGCAGGCATGTCTAAATTGGCTTTGAACTAGGATCCTGTGGATCATTTCTCTCACATAGGCTTCCCACAATGGCAATGCCCAGCTAGCAGCCAAGTGACAGGAGATCCTCCCCACCTCATTTTCAATCCTGGCTGCTGGACACTCTTTGAGTCCACCTACTTATTTAAGTCTTCAAAGACTGCTCCAGTGAGTAGGTTTAGCTCAAAATCAAACAAAACTACAGGATATCCTTTTCCTGTCCCCAGTCCTCCAAGTGGATTGGCCAGCTGGTCTCTGCCTGTTCCCAAACCCTCACCTTCTGTGCTGGTTTTCCTCAGCTCCAGACCCCCTTACTGGCTCCTGTAGTCCACCACTGCTTCACTGTGCCCCCAGAGTGATGTCCCTGGATGAGATCCCCCAGCTAGAGGTAGTTGAAGTTTTCTTTCCCCTGCCTTGCTGTGAGTGCATAGTAAGGAGATATTTCTAGTCTACCATCTTGCCCCACCCAACTGGGGGTAGATCCTTTGTAGTTTATAAGTGTGATGATTATGTTTCCATGAGCCTATGTGAGATCCATTTCCCTCATATCCTGTTATGATGTTGGCACACTACCTATCTTATATGAAAAAAAAGAAATTATGGGATTAATTAATTAGTACTTTAAAGCTCCCTAAGGGTGTCCACTGGGCAACCAAGATTGGGAACCACTTGATAGTAGAATATGAGGAATTAATAATATCATTAGAATGTGTTTTGGTAAAACTATCCCTAGAATATTTCAGTTTGGCAATACCTTTTACAAACTGGAGCACATTCAGAGCAGTGTGACCAGGATGATAAATGCAATAAAGTCATGCAAACTATGCCATGTGAGGAATGTTAAATGCTTGATCTCAGGGAAGATACAAAAGTTGCCCTCAGATGAGTGTGCCAAAAGGATTACCATTGTCTCATCTTGTTCCAGAGATGAGAACTAGAACAAGAAAATAAAGTAAAATGGACATAAATTTTAACTCAATAAAAATCATAACATTTTATCAGGACCGTCTGATGATATAATGAGAAACCTTGGAAATAAATTATTGTCATACACTTTGGGGACTCCAAGCCATTTGACTGGTTAGCTATTTTTTGAGGAGCTTGTGGAGAAGGTTTATGTTATTAGTTAATCCCCATTCTCAAGGAGCTCCCAGGAGGAAACAAAAAAGCAAAATTAGATACTTTAGTGCAGCATCAATCATGAGATTACAGTTCTGGATTAGATAGAGTAAGCACATTCTACCATGTCTCCTCCACTGTATATAGCTAATACAATATGATTAGAATGAATCGAACATTGAGGAGCTTAAGAAATAAATAGTAGCATATTGAAAAAGAACCAGAATTCAAAAGTACCACTGAACTAGTGGTAAATATACCACTTTTTGCTCTCATATACCCTAGCCTGAACTCAGCACAATAGAAACCTGGAAATGGGCATCAGGGATTAGATAGAGAGCACTCTAGGAGAAACAATTTAATCTGGCTCAAAGAATGAGGAAAAGGGAACTCGTAATACTTAGTTAGAAATTTCCCAATTTTTCCCTCTTCCTTTTCTTTGTTTTCTTATGCTCCTGCTCCTAAGAAATCTGGTGGCAATCATAGCAGTCACTGATAATTAGAATCTGCAGGATCTAAAACTCTGAGGGTGGAGAATCTTCTTCTCTTTCTGGTGGTTCAAAGAGAGTTGGGCCAATGTCCATTGCATTTTTCCCTTTATTTCCTATCATTTGGCCATAAAACAAGGGTACAGTTTCAAAATTACATATCAGAACAGGGAAACTAAAGCCTCAGCTTAGGCCAAAAGACTGAAGAGAGGGTTTAAGGGAACTAGAAAATATTTTAGAGGTCACAGAAAGAGAGGAGCTTGGGAAAGTGACCCAATAAAGTTGTTTATGAGCTCTGAGTTTCCCTTGAGTGGACATGTGTCGATTAGACCTTATTTAGCAGAATAAAGACTTCGAGAATTAAACAAACAGATGGACCATGATCCAGGTCCTAGATGATTCAATGATAGGTGAGCATGTGGGGTGTACCTGGAAAGTGCTAGAAAGACTTTGAAAATAAAATGGACATTGGAACCACAACCCACAGAAGATGCTGTAGAACAGGTGTCCTCAAACTACGGCCCATGGGCCACATGCAGCCCGCCTAGGACATTTATCCAGCCTGCCAAGTGTTTTTGCCACCACTGCCTGTCCTGCTTAGCAGCTGACTCATCCCAGGGCCAATAGTTCAGCACTCCAATGGTCTGAGAGACAGTGAACTGGCCCCCTGTTTAAAAAGTTTGAGGACCCCTGCTGTAGAATTTGTCCTTTATAAAACAAAAACATCAACATCAATATTCTACATAGGATTTATACAAGTTCCAGAGTCTCATAAGGTAAATTCAAAGCATCTAGGATATCATTTGAAATTATTAGGCATTCAAAAAGTCAGCAAAATCTCAACTTGCATGAGAAAAGAAAATCAATGGAGGTCAATCTGAGATCACGTGTTCTGGACTTATTTGAAAATATTTTGAATCAGCTATTATAAAAATATGCCAAAAAGTAAGGGCAAAACCCTGGAAAGGAATGGAAAAATAGAAAGTCTCAGCAAATACATTTTTGAAAATGTAACATGAACCAAATGGAACCATTTAGGAGCTGAAAATATACAATAACCAAAACTAAAAAGAAAAAAAAAAGGTCTAAAGTCACTGGATGGGCTCAGTAGAAATGATTAAAATGATTTAATGGACTGAGTTACAATTCAGGTGCTTGTTAAAGAATAAATAGAAGTGAACCTAGTGAAGAAGAGTTGTATCAGTTATCTATTGCTGTGTAACACATTACCCAAACATGTAGCAGTAAAATAACAGAAACAACAAACATTTATTATTTCATAGATTATCTGAGGGTCAGTACTCTGGGATAGGCTAAGTTGAGTGGATTTGGCTCAGACTTTCTCATGAGGTTGCAGTCAAACTTTCAGTGGGGGGATAGTCATCTCAAGACCTGCTGGACTTAGAGAATCTTCTTCCAAACTCACTCACACAGCTGTTGTCAGGCCTCAGTTTTCTGCCAGATATTAAATGGAGGGTCCCAATTTCTTGCCACCTAGGCTTCTCCATAGGGCACTTCACAGCATGGCAGCTGACTTCCCTCAGAGCAAGTGATCTGATTAGGCAAGAGAGAAAATGGAAGCCACAGTCTTTTTCATAACTTAATCTTTTTATATTAAATCATAACTGTGTACATTAATGCATTTATGGGGTATGATGTGTTGATTTTATGTACTATTTGGAATGCTTATATCAAACTGGTTAACTTTACTTCACCTAACTTACTTATACTGTGTTAAGACATTTATACTCTACTCTTCTTTTTTATTTTTATTCTACTCTTAATAGTTTTGACAAGTGATTGCTCAGTCCAAGTCACGCTCAAGGGGTGGGGGAATTAAATTCCACCTCTTGAATTAGGGAAGCGTCAGAGAATTTGTAGGTATATTTTTATATCTGAGGTGGAGGGAATCAGATATGCAAAAGTTCAGAATAAAGGGAAAGAACTGCATATGGACATTTAGGGCTGTTTTTGTCTTGTCTCTATCCAGTTTATTTGGGCTGCTCAGTAAGTGTCAAATGGTCATTGGAAGCCTTTTTCTTTATCTTTCTCTCTAGGGAAGGCAGCCGGCCTAGGACCATGCTCTTACGCTAGGGGATGATGAGGACCTGAACCCCCTCTCCAGTATTTTGTTTTAGGATTTTGGAACAAAAGGGAAAATGTAAAAAAGGGATAATTTTCTCTAGTTTTAGGTGTATGCCTTTATGGTAGCATAGCAAGCTGGCCTGGAGTTTTCATTAGAGGCTGATTGTCCTGGATTAGCTCCCTTTTTGCCACTGCCTTCCATCTTCTTACTAGCTAAATCACTGTAAGTCAGTTCTGCTGTAATGTCTGTTTTGAAAATGTGAATTTGTTCCAATGTGATTGATATATTAGGGCATAATTTGAGCATGACATGAATTTTGTGTTTGAGCATGATTCCATCAGCAGGAAACACTAGGTGAATGCAGAAAATTATAGCCAACTCAACTGAGCTGTGTGGTAATACATAAAACGCACACCTCAGACATCTACCAGCTATACCATACACATTTAGTGCTGGTACTTTCCATCTGATTGCATATACACCTCTTTCCAATGCTTCACAATAACTCACAAGCTGCAACGCCCACATCTACAAACAAACTTTAGGTCTTTTCAAGGTAAAGTGTCGTATTTATTGTATTGCTTATGTATTTCTCAACCATCAACACATGTAAAACTGTGCTGCCATTCCTATCTGGTTTTTAACATGTTACTGACATTTTTATTGCACCTCTTCTAACCCCATTTTATTCACGAGTCCTCCAGCTTTTATTGTGTGATTTTGCACAGTGCAGTAGTTTTTAAAGAATGCACGTGTCATGTTATAGCAAAATTGATTATATTTTATTTTTTACTTACCTAGCATACTGAATTTGGGTAGACTTGGTAGTGATGAAAACCAAGTCATTGAGGATTCTGTAGTGCAGAGGGAAAAAGAACAAGGAAGTATTCCACATTCAGTGGAGATGCTAACCTTTGGTAGAGAACCATGCTGAGCTGCTATTTAAAGACCGACTTGGTGAATTTTTTCACTAATAGTTGTTTGTTATTTTTGTTTCTGAGTTTCCTGCTTTTCTGACCTTGAGCATCCTCTTCTACAATAAGCAATTCTGTTACTTTGGAGCATAGGACCGAGAATGGGTAGTGAGATACAATTAAATAATTCGGACTTTATTATCCTTCTATAACCTTGAGCAAGGGTACTTGTTCCTACTGATTTTATATCCCCTCTGAGAATGTGCATTTATGAGCAGCTAGTGGTGCCTGACTTTGGGTCTGTGGCACCTGGTGCTGAGGTAGCCACAATCAAGTTCCAAAGTGGTCTGGGCATTTATAATAGGGAACATCTTTCTCTTAGCTTAGGGACCTCATTTGACTCCATGGAAGGAGGCATGGCATAGGATTATTTATTTATTTATCTTTTTCTTCCTCACCATTCGTTCACTTCTTTATCTTCATTAAAGTGGTACTGTGTAGTAGTTGAGGATTTTGGCTCTGTGTCCACCACTAAACGGTGCATGACCTTAGGCCACTTAATTTCTCTGCACTTCAGTTGCCTTATCTTTAAAATTGAGATAATAATAGCATTTACTTCACAGTCTTGTTATGATGAATGACTGAGATAATCCATGAAAAGCATTTAGAACTTGGCTAGTTCCTTTGCACATTTGATCTTAATCAACACCTAAAGCATGAGAAGTGTCTATTTAGACTCAGGTATAGGTAATAAAATTATTCTGTACTATTAAATTCTGTCAGTGAGGAAGTGTAGTCACATTTATTCACAATTGTTTAGCACTTAACTATTTAATTGAAAAGGTGCAATTGTAATTCAGTTTTTAATTTCTGAAGCTTATAAGCACTGACCTATTTTTTTATTATCTATATCTCTTACTCTTAGGGCTAAGGTTATTAAGATAGAAATACTTCTATAGAATTTTGGATGAGGATT